TGTAGGCCTGACGATGAGCCATCGCTGGAGGCTCTTCTTCGTATCGGCCATCGTCAAGCGGGTACTCAACGTCAATTGTGTCGTCGCCCTCCGACCGACTGGCCCAGAGCTTCGCGTCCTTACGCGCGTCTTCGGCAGACTTTCTCAAAAGACAAATGTTAGAGACGTAGAAAACGGGCGGGGACAGGCCCGCTCGATGCGTCGTCCATATGTCGGTTATATCGCCTAGGCTCTCAGAAATGAAGTTTTCCCAAGGGACGAATAACGCCAAATGTAGGACAGGTTTCTACAGTGTCAGACGGAGCCAAAACGGTGCCGGGGTTGAGCGTACCGCTTAATATAGACTGGGTGATCGTCCTCGTGGTCGTCGCTGATGTATCCTTGGAAGATCGGGACGGCGTACTGGTCGGGCCGTCGAAGCTTTGCATCCAGCCTTCACAGTCTGAATCCTGGCCATCGAGAAAAATGTGAAGTCATCTTCACTCCGACCATTTCGACGCACCAAGTGAATCATTGACATGTAGTCATACAGGCATAAGTCTTGTAGAACATGACCGCGGTAGGCGTACGCCTCCAGGCATAATAGGGTTCGCCCTCCTTGCCTCAGAGGATTGTCTCTGGGGCTGTTCGGCGTCCGTGAGCTCGCCGGCCTGATGGCGGAGATGCGCCCATAGCCGAAAGATTGTCCAGTATAGGGCCGTCAAGTTCAAGAAGGACCAATGCGGCACGTTGGTAAAGTCGGTGTCATATCAAGGAGGTGGTAACAAACCTCGACAGCCGAGAGTTGTCGCTCGGAGAAGATGCGATTTGCCGTTCTCATCAGGAATTGACGGCTTTCGTTCAATACCGCCTGCTGCCTGCCGTCGGGCAGGGCGGGACCTGGCGCGCGAGACGTCGGACGACCGGCCTCGCGAAGTTGGCGGGCAACCTCGGTGGCGAGCAATGCGCTTCCACATCGGCGTATCCAGTTTGGTGGCGTAGTTCGTGATGTAGTACACCATGGCCAGGCCCTTGGTCTTGGTCAAGATCATCGAGACGTCGTGATTGTGGCGAAGGCCGACCGCCAACGACTTGTTGTACCGGTTGACGAGTGGATGGTTGCGCTGAATCTGAAGCAAGCCATCCTCTGTGAACCCTGTCTCCTCGACGATTTCCACGGTGCCTTGAAGCGGCAGGCTGTCCGTCTCTGTTGATCTGCCCCCGGTCGATGACCCTTCAGAGAATACTTGAGGCAGGTGTATGTGTGGAGTGCACTTGGCAACAGTATGCGATGAAATTGGATTCGTCTTCAAAGGCCGCAGTGAGAGCCGAGGTGCTAGTCATGACCTCCTCCACGGGATCGATGGGCTTCCTCTGCTGTCGCACGGCTTTTCCGGCATCTTCATCTAGACACTCATGAAAGACGAGTCTGCGTATCGGATCACCTGGGCACGATATGATTCTTCCGCGGGATTGGCCATGTCGTCTATCAGGTTCGGTAACCGCATGTTGCCGTCCAGCCAGAGAGTCCATGCAAGTGGAGGCTGCCTCGCTCGTTCGTTTCCACGGTGGCGTAGTAGTGGCTGATCTTCCAAGATCGATTCGGCCTGTATTCACATACTTTTCAAAGAATAGGATATTTCTCGGTGGAAGAAGATGGCCGAGCTGACCGGATCCATGGTGCTCAGGGCGATCCTGTCGTACTTTTCACGGAGATCGGCCAAAAGCTCCTTCGCAGACTCATAATCGTGGAGCCTATGAATGGCAAGCTTCATCTTTACCGGGTTATTGATGTCGTTGGGACTGATGGTAATCCAGATTGCAGGCATACCGGCGCGGATGTCCAGAGCTTGTCTTCCTCCGCATAAGCAAACGGGATTCGTTCGAGCGGCTGTGCATGGCCAAATCGACAGCTCGCGAAGCAAGAGCGATATGTCGGGGTCCGACGTAGTCCTCGTCTCCCGCATCTCCGCCTCGGCCCTCTTCAGTCGGTCCTCGGTCAAGTTCGCATAGGCCTGCTCAAGTCTGTGGAAGGAATCTTTAGCGACACGGACCATGCTGATGCGGCGGTTGGAGGAGCGAAGGAGGGTGTTGAATACTAAGAAACAAAAGACAGGATGGGTGGCGAATCGGCCACCATGCCGTTGCAATACGTATCTGGCCCAGTATTGAAGAGAGTGATTCGGACGACGGTCGGCAGCGTCGCTTTGTCGGCCATGACTCGAGTCGCCCTTCGATTTCAGGCCGCCCCTTCCCCACGGGAAAAGCTTCGGAAATGTTCGAGGAAGAAATCTTCGTGCAGGTTGTCTGCAAAATCCGCACCACGCTCTACTCGGACAAACGGCTGGTCTCCTGTAGTTCGGACCTGCATAACGCATGGACAGAGGTACCCTGTTGGTCCGGATTGGCGTTGACGATGTCGGCCAGAAACGACAGTTTATCGGTCTCGGCGAAGGCAGCCGGACCATCGAGAAATGCCGGACGTAGACGTCTCGTAGACAGGATCAACTTCCTGGCCGATGGCGGCCGAGTCGGGGACAAGTCGCCGGCTCACCAGGGAGGTTGAGTCTGCTCAGTCGACAGAGCACAGTCCAAATCGCAAGATTCGGCGATGAAGATAGGATCGATGGAGTTTACGAGTTCATCGATGCTTGTAAAGCTGTTTTCCGCCAAGCCTCGATCAGTGTTCGGGACTATATGGTCCGTTTGTGTCCTCTCAACGGTCGACGGTTCCTCTCTTTGCATGCGGTCCATGATGACGGTCGGAACACTGGACCCATCGGCATACTGCCAGCCGTCCATCTCTGCTTGGTTGATTGAGATATTCTCGTAAAGCGGGTTGTTCCTCTGGAGCCATGCCAGGGCGGCTGCCACTCGAGATTTGCGCACCCGAAGCAGGTGTCCGACGTCTGCGGAGCCAGGCTTAGCCGAGCCGCTCCAAGAGACGTGGATATTCTCAATGGCTTGCAGCAAGGGATGGGGAAGAACGGTGGCAACAAGATCGTCCACCTTGTTCGGAAAGACGACAATATGTCCTTTCACGTGCTTGCGGTAGCTGATTCCCGACGGGTCTTGTTGTCCACCTGAACTTGGTGATATAGCCAAAAGGCGCATGTAGGGCAATGAGTCTCTCTTCGGGAGAGAGGTCATCAAGCTCGTCGGGGTACCGATGCTCACAACCGATGGCCATGTTGTTGACAGAGCAGGCCTTGGGCGGCCGTCCACTGTCGAAGCTGACGCGACACTCGCGGCACACGTCAGCTCCGGCGCCCTGGTGTGACGGAAGGCACGCACCACACTCTTGGATGGTCCTGGTCGCCCACATCATGGAGGGCGACAAGCGATCCCTCCACTGCATGGTGGCGAGTTCGCAAGGCGGTGTCTTCCTGCAGCAGAAGACGCAGTGGGACACCGGCAACGTCCGTTCCTCGGTAAACGCTTGGTAGAAAGATTTAGCAGCTTCTACCTGGAGGGCAACTGGAACTTCGTTGCACCAGGATCTTGTCGATGATGCCTGCTCTTTGACGCGGAAACGGGCGTCATGGTGATGTAGCGCAGACTCGACAGAGTCTCGCTGGAGCTGAACGGTTTCTCGCGTAGGCCCGGGCCTCGTGGGAAGCGCCCGCCCGTGTGAGCGATGAAGGGCGAAGCGGTTGTTCCGCACTGGATCGACTCGGTGATGGAGAGGCCGGCGTCTGCGTGTCTTTTGGAGGAGCGCCTTGGCTGCGTGGGGTGGGTGGGAGGTGTCTCCTCTTCTGTGTCGTTTCGGTGATGGAGCGGCCGGCGGCTGCGTGTGTCTTTGAAGGAGCGCCTTAGCGTGGTGGAGTGGAGGTGGTGCCCTCTCTGCGTCGTCTCTCGGTGATGCAGTCGCTGGCAGCTGCGTGTGACTTGTACGGGAGATATGCCAGCGGCAGAGCAGGTGAACTACGTGGTGTAATTCTGGGAAAGCAACAACTGCATTCATTAGGGCAAGCTCACGATCTGTGACCATGATCGCAGCGCCGGAATGCCCTCTTCGGCTGCCAATTGGGGGCATTGCAGAGCCCAGCGGTATTGTTGATTCAGCCTCCCCGTTGAGGGAAGTGGAGTGTATCGCGGGCACAGGAGGGTGGTTGTGGTCTGTACAGGCGGCGATGGCTGGAAACCAGGCGCCTCGCTGCTCCTCTTAATAATAGGCGGAAGCCGCAGTCGCATTTATAATGTGGCCTGGTTCGCCCGGCGTTTTGATCTGGGCGCTGGGGTCGGTAAATGCGATACCGCCCGCCAGCCCGCGAGCAGGTCATGTAGGCGTCGTTATCCTCCCCGATCGTACAATCAGGGGCGTGGCGTGCCTTGGCGACTGTATGACAAGGCATCTTGGGCGGCCTTCTTTGAATCGGTCGCGGTGGTACGGATAATCCATTGCGGCGGCGGCGGTAAGTAGTAGGTGTGGAGAGATATCGCGAAAAGCTTCACTTCTAATGCAGATGCGTTAGGTTGATGCGACGTTGTGACGCTCTGTGGGCATGGCATGCCGAAAGGATCCTTCTTCCGCGCCCTTCGCCACACCTCCACATCCTCTACCCCTTACGCACGGACCGCATGCCGCTCCGTGCCCACCAGCCACTCTTCACCGCCACCTGTTTCTTTCCCCACCAACTTCCTGTGTGCCTTGAGGAACGAAGAGACGAAAGGATCCTTCTTCCGCGCCCTTCGCCACACCTCCTCTCCTCCCGCCGCACGGACGCATGCCGTCCGTGCCCACCAGCCACTCTTCACCGCCACCTGTTTCTTTCCCCACCAACTTCCTGTTCCTGCTGCCGTTCGTCCCGTTCCCGTCCACTCCTGCTCGGTCCCACTCCCGGGCCAACTCACCTTACAGCCATCACCGTGCACCATGCCAAGAACACCCCGTCACGGTCTCGCCGAAGTTCGCCGCACTTTGGGTGATCTTGAATCGCAGAGATCCCAGCGCCGTTCCTGTCAACGACCTTCACCGCTTATTAGGGTTCCCACGACGGATCCTCCGCGTCTTGCACGATATGGACCGCCAGCGCGCCGAAGAACGACCCGCCGCCGTGAGCTCAATTCCAATATACCGCGCACACGCAACAGCCGAACAACCCATCCCCGAGACGACCGAGAAGAGCAAGCGCCTCCTCTCCACCCCCAACGCAGCCAAAACTCCGTACAAGTCACACGCAGCTGCCAGCGACTGCATCACCGAGACGACCTGAGAGGCAATCACCCCCTCCACCTCCCACGCAGCTAAGGCGCTCCTTCAAAGACACACGCAGCCGCCGGCCGCTCCATCACCGAAACGACACAGAGAGACACCTCCCACTCCACCCCCACGCAGCCAAGGCGCTCCTCAAAAGACACGCAGACGCCGGCCTCTCATCACCGAGTCGATCCAGTGCGGAACTTCGCCCTTCATCGCTCACACGGGCGGGGCGCTTCCCCAGGCCCGGGCCTACGCGAGAAACCGTTCAGCTCAACGAGACTCCGTCAAGTCTACGCTACATCACTATGACGCCTGTTTCCGCTCTAAAGAGCAGGCATCATCGACAAGATCCTGGTGCAACGAAGTTCCAGTTGCCCTCCAGGTAGAAGCTGCTAAATCTTTCTACCAAGCGTTTACCGAGGAACGGACGTTGCCGGTGTCCCTGCGTCTTCTGCTGCAGGAAGACACCGCCTTGCGAACTCGCCACCATGCAGTGGAGGGATCGCTTGTCGCCCTCCATGATGTGGGCGACCAGGACCATCAAGAGTGTGGTGCGTGCCTTCCGTCACACCAGGGCGCCGGAGCTGACGTGTGCCGCGAGTGTCGCGTCAGCTTCGACAGTGGACGGCTGCCCAAGGCCTGCTCTGTCAACAACATGGCCATCGGTTGTGAGCATCGGTACCCCGACGAGCTTGATGACCTCTCTCCCGTCGAAGAGAAGCTCATTGCCCTACATGCGCCTTTTGGCTATATCACCAAGTTCACAGTGGACAACAAGACCCGTTCGGGAATCAGCTACCGCAAGCACGTGAAAGGACATATTGTCGTCTTTCCGAACAAGGTGGACGATCTTGTTGCCACCGTTCTTCCCCATCCCTTGCAAGCCATTGAGAATATCCACGTCTCTTGGAGCGGCTCGGCTAAGCCTGGCTCCGCAGACGTCGGACACCTGCTTCGGTGCGCAAATCTCGAGCAGCCCTGGCATGGCTCCAGAGGAACAACCCGCTTTACGAGAATATCTCAATCAACCAAGCAGAGATGGACGGCTGGCAGTATGCCGATGGGTCCGACCGTCATCATGGACCGCATGCAAAGAGAGGAACCGTCGACCGTTGAGAGGACACAAACGGACCATATAGTCCCGAACACTGATCGAGGCTTGGCGGAAAACAGCTTTACAAGCATCGATGAACTCGTAAACTCCATCGATCCTATCTTCATCGCCGAATCTTGCGATTTGGACTGTGCTCTGTCGACTGAGCAGACTCAACCTTCCCCTGGTGAGCCGGCGACTCTTGTCCCCGACTCGGCCGCCATCGGCCAGGAAGTTGATCCTGTCTACGAGACGTCTACGTCCGCATGTTTCCTGGGTCCGGCTGCCTTCGCCGAGACCGATAAACTGTCGTTTCTGGCCGACATCGTCAACGCCAATCCGGACCAACAGGGTACCTCTGTGCCATGCGTTATGCAGGTCCGAACTACAGGAGACCAGCCGTTTGTCCGAGTAGAGCGTGGTGCGGATTTTGCAGACAACCTGCGAAGATTTCTTCCCTCGAACATTTCCGAAGCTTTTCCCGTGGGAAGGGCGGCCCGAAATCGAAGGGCGACTCGAGTCATGGCCGACAAAGCGACGCTGCCGACCGTCGTCCGAATCACTCTCTTCAATACTGGGCCAGATACGTATTGCAACGGCATGGTGGCCGATTCGCCACCCATCCTGTCTTTTGTTTCTTAGTATTCAACACCCTCCTTCGCTCCTCCAACCGCCGCATCAGCATGGTCCGTGTCGCTAAAGATTCCTTCCACAGACTTGAGCAGGCCTATGCGAACTTGACCGAGGACCGACTGAAGAGGGCCGAGGCGGAGATGCGGAGACGAGGACTACGTCGGACCCCGACATATCGCTCTTGCTTCGCGAGCTGTCGATCTTTGGCCATGCAGCCGCTCTCGAACGAATCCCGTTTGCTTATGCGGAGGAAGATACAAGCTCTGGACATCCGCGCCGGTATGCCTGCAATCTGGATTACCATCAGTCCCAACGACATCAATAACCCGGTAAAGATGAAGCTTGCCATTCATAGGCTCCACGATTATGAGTCTGCGAAGGAGCTTTTGGCCGATCTCCGTGAAAAGTACGACAGGATCGCCCTGGCACCATGGATCCAGCTCGGCCATCTTCTTCCACCGAGAAATATCCTATTCTTTGAAAAGTATGTGAATACAGGCCGGGAATCGATCTTCGGGAAGATCAGCCACTACTACGCCACCGAAACGAACGAGCGAGGCAGCCTCCACTTGCATGGACTCCTCTGGCTGGACGGCAACATGCGGTTACCGAACCTGATAGACGACATGGCCAATCCCGGGAAGAATCATATCGTGCCCAGGTGATCCGATACGCAGACTCCGTCTTTCATGAGTGTCTAGATGAAGATGCCGGAAAAGCCGTGCGACAGCAGAGGAAGCCCATCGATCCCGTGGAGGAGGTCATGACTAGCACCTCGGCTCACTGCGGCCTTTGAAGACGAATCAATTTCATCGCATACTGTTGGTGCACTCCCACACACACCTGCCTCAAGTATTCTCTGAAGGGGTCATCGACCGGGGGGCAGATCAACAGAGACGGACAGCCTGCCGCTTCAAGGCACCGTGGAAAATCGTCGAGGAGACAGGGTTCACAGAGGATGGCTTGCTTCAGATTCAGCGCAACCATCCACTCGTCAACCGGTACAACAAGTCGTTGGCGGTCGGCCTTCGCCACAATCACGACGTCTCGATGATCTTGACCAAGACCAAGGGCCTGGCCATGGTGTACTACATCACGAACTACGCCACCAAACTGGATACGCCGATGTGGAAGCGCATTGCTCTCGCCACCGAGGTTGCCCGCCAACTTCGCGAGGCCGGTCGTCCGACGTCTCGCGCGCCAGGTCCCGCCCTGCCCGACGGCGGCAGGCAGGCGGTATTGAACGAAAGCCGTCAATTCCTGATGAGAACGGCAAATCGCATCTTCTCCGAGCGACAACTCTCGGCTGTCGAGGTTTGTTACCACCTCCTTGGATATGACACCGACTTTACCAACGTGCCGCATTGGTCCTTCTTGAACTTGACGGCCTGCTGGACAATCTTTCGGCTATGGGCGCATCTCCGCCATCAGGCCGGCGAGCTCACGGACGCCGAACAGCCCCAGAGACAATCCTCTGAGGCAAGGAGGGCGAACCCTATTATGCCTGGAGGCGTACGCCTACCGCGGTCATGTTCTACAAGACTTATGCCTGTATGACTACATGTCAATGATTCACTTGGTGCGTCGAAATGGTCGGAGTGAAGATGACTCTCATTTTTCTCGATGGCCAGGATTCAGACTGTGAAGGCTGGATGCAAAAGCTTCGACGGCCCGACCAGTACGCCGTCCCGATCTTCCAAGGATACATCAGCGACGACCACGAGGACGATCACCCAGTCTATATTAAGCGGTACGCTCTAACCCCCGGCACCGTTTTGGCTCCGTCTGACACTCTGTAGAAACCCTGTCCTACATTTGGCGTTATTCGTCCCTTGGGAAAACTTCATTTCTGAGAGCCTAGGCGATATAACCGACATATGGACGACGCATCGAGCGGGCCTTTGTCCCCGCCTCCGTTTCTACGTCTCTAACATTTGTCTTTTGAGAAAGTCTGCCGAAGACGCGCGTAAGGACGCGAAGCTCTGGGCCAGTCGGTCGCAGGCGACGACACAATTGACGTTGAGTACCCGCTTGACGATGGCCGATACGAAGAGCCTCCAGCGATGGCTCATCGTCATGCCTACAGAGCTCTACTCCAGATTTTGCGAAATGCCGTGCAGGACACGGACGCCACAAAGACTCCCCGTCCTTGAGGTTTAATACACGATCTGTGCGAAGAGAACCCGGCTGGAGAAGAGCAACCTTTTGTCCAACGTCAAGAGGATCTGTACCGGAATATGCCCCATGATCAAGGTGACGCCTTGTGTCAACTCCCCATATCTCGAGACGATGTCCAGGCAGCGGCCAAGGCCCAACAACTATTGCATCTTCGGATGCTAGACGACATGAGGTGGTTCCCAGGGACCATGCTTTCCGCGGATGGCGCCGACATCGACGATACGCTAGCTCGCTACGGCGATACGGAGTCCCCTGCTGGGCTCCCGGGCAGCGACCTCAATGAACGAGGCCCTCGGATGCTTGTCGACGTCAGTCCGGCAACTAGCTTCGCGGAGATGGGACACACCGCCGCGGCCAGCTTTACACTGAACTATCTACAGACCATGGCCCTTCAACTCGTTTGCCTGTTTCTGGACAAGTATACTGCCAATCCGGACTCAGCGGTCAGCATCTTCAATACACCGGCGGGCGGGTGGCACGGGAAAGTCGAGGATTATCGATGCCCTGAAGGACGTGTTCGCGGCGAGAACCAGCCGCATCTTCTGCAGATAACCGGCACGTCGGGCAGTTCGGCGGCCCAGATTGGCGGCACGACCATCCACTCGGCCTGTGGGTTAGATTCCCATCGCGATCCAAACAAACCGCCTCCCCCCTTCTCGGAGGCGAAGAAGTGGATCTGGAAACAGAAGCTGGTGCTCGTCATTGACGAGGTCAGTATGCTGGGAGGAGCCACTCTGCACAACGTCAGTCATTACCTGCAGGCACTCCGTGACTGTCCGGACGAACCGTTTGGCGGGATGCCCGTCGTTCTACTGATGGGAGACTTCTACCAGTTCGCCCCCGTGCGGGAGACAAGCCTACCTGCATCTGTTCAAAACCGTGGTGCTCCTCGAAGACCAAGTCCGCGCACGCAACGATCCCCAGCTCCGTGCACTCCTGGATCGAGTTCGTAACGGGCGCCAGACCCATGAAGATCTGAGCTTGCTCAATGCCAACATTGTAGGACGCTCGCAAATCACCTTCCACGATGGTTTGCGCGCTATAACGCCGCTGAACCGCACCCGGTGGGCCCTCAACATGGAAGCTGTTGTGGGCTGGGCGCGCTTCAACAAGCGGCACATCCGTATCTTTGTCTCGACTCACACCTGGCGCAACGGCACGCTGTCTCCAAACCTCATAGCGCGAACCATCGGACAAGGCGACGACTCTGCCTGCAAAGTCCCCGGCGTCTTCTTCTACGCCCAGGGCATGCCCGTGGTTGTGAACAAGAACATCTACACTGGCCTGAAGGTGGTGAATGGGGCTGACTTTACTGCCGTGGACGTGATAATCGATCCCAATCACCCGGGATACTGCTTGGCAGATGACGTGACCATCCACTTCGGGCCGCCGCTCGTTCTTCTGCAGTCCGAGAGACGAAGACCTTGGCGATACCGTCCCTCCCGGTGGGGACAGTACTTATCCGGCCCATGTCGCATACTTGATTCGACTAACTCTCACTTCAAGTTCTTATCCGCAAGATGCACGCGACGTGGACTGCCCGCTGTACCAGCGTTCGTTCTCACTGATTACAAAGCCCAGGGTAAAACATTCGTCGAAGTACTGTTGGAGCTGCGTGGAAATCGTGTGACCAATGGTGAACCCTCCAAGTGCGATTTTACGAGCCTCTATGTGCAACTATCCAGGTGCACCTCGCTTCGGGCATCAAGCTTCTAATCCCGTGAGACACCATGACTTCATTGGCAATGGGCTCGATCAGGCCATTCTTGATGGAATGCAGAGACTCAAGAACTTGGCCGCGGAAACGAGACGGTTATACAAGGACCAAGGTTTCGAAAAGTAGTGCTAGTATACTAACCATCCTTATAGTTTGACCTTTCGCACGTCGTAACGCGGCACGTAGACGTCCTACACTTCATAAGGTGACCGGACCGCACGCCAGTCGTCCGGATCTCGCTCCCCTCCCTTCCCTGGACGTAAGCGCTTTTGCTCCTCACAATAATTTACCCACCATTCCTCGAACGCCTGGCGGCTGTAAAGCCACCTCGGCGGCCCGTCTCCTTCCCGAACAGGTCCAGGATATGGTCGCAGAACATCCACACTCCTTCGAGATGCTGCGGATAAAATGGCTTCCTGTCCTTGCGCGCGACCACGACGGTGCCAACGTGACTGCCAGTCTGGAGGTGCAAACCCGGAGTTGGCATCAATATTGAGGTACGTAGCAATCTGGTTGTCGAGGTCTGCCTCGTTGACGGACTGAGTCCCCGTCCGATCCAGGACCAGCGGGACCTCGATGAGCCCTGGGACGGACGGCACCGACTGCGAAACACGACATGATTCGCAGGGATTGTAGTGGCAGACCAAAGGGAAACTTGCGTTTCTCGGCCTCACATCGGACAATGACAGCTTCGACATGCCCCGACTTGCTGTGCGTTTCCCTCAAACCTGATGTACCCATCGGCGGCGAGGCATGCGTGGGCGGCGGGTGGGTTTGCTGCTGGCGCTTGCTGGGGCGATGCCTCTGGCTCCGAATCGGTGTCGATGTTGTCCCACTTTGAGTAATCAATCGGAGGCATTGAGTCGATTCTTAACAAACTGTTACACTTTACTGCATGATTCGCGAACAGTTCAGACTCCTTTGCCCTTCGAGATGATGGCCCTTACAAGTTACCTCCGCGTTCTTACCCGCCCGCCCTTAACCCACCTTGTTGTGGCGGGGTAAAATGGCGTCCAAGCAGCCACACTACCGGGAGCAAGCCTCATCGTCTCAGCAGACCTGCCAGTGTGGAACCAAATTCAGTCCCGTTCCTCAAGGCATTGGCGGACCCTGAAAGGGCCGGTCTCCTGTCCTGCTGAGGTGCCTTGAGGAACGAAGAGACGAAAGGATCCTTCTTCCGCCACCTCCGTCAGCTTGGGCCACTTAGCGCCCCGTGCCTTGTGCCTTGAGGAACGAAGAGACGAAAGGATCCTTCTTCCGCCCTCCGTAGCTCGGGCCACTTAGCGCCCCGTGCGAGCTGCGCCAGCCTTCACCGCCACCTTCCACTCGGCTTCATGCCTTTCCCGAGCCACACAACAACTCTCCTCTTTTCCGTTCTCGCCTCCACCGCCCGCGTTGACCGCTCCGGCTCCGGCCCCGCCGGCCCGCTGCCAGCCCCGCTACCCGGGCGGAGCCCTACTTCGACCATGGTCAGCCCGGCCCCCGATTGTCCATTTGGATACGGATCCTGTGCTGGGAGACGGTCTACCCCAGAAATCGACGTCATGGGGCCCTTGTCGTATGGGCAAGGACGCCATCCACTCCGCCAAGAACCGTACAACACATGATTGGCCCTCCCGTTTTGCGGGATGCTTCTAACCCTAAGCCCCTCACTTCGTAACCGCCGCCATCCCCTGCGATAGCGGAGCCATGAACCCGACGTCTCCGTCTGCCCATCTATCCTTCACGCAAGCACCTCTGAGCTTCGGCAGACTACCCCGTCCATGAGCATTCGAAACCTTTGCTGAGTTTCTCGATCACATGTCGTGGTCGCCGTCTTGCTCCCAGGTGCCAGTAATAGACTGTTTCTTTCCTTCTTCCATGCACTCGTTCGGAACCATCCCCTTGCACCATGCCGCGAGAACACCCAGCCACGGTCTCACCCGAAGAGGTTCGCCGCACCTTAAGGGATCTTGAATCGCGCCGGTCCTATCAGCGCCGGTCACAGACTGTCAGAGTTCCCCATGACGAGATCCTCCGTGTCTTGCACGATATGGATCGCCGGCGCGCCGAAGACCAAACCCGCCGCCGTGAAGCTCAATACCAATATGCCGCACACGCAGCCGCCAGCCACTCCATCACCAAAACGACCTAGAGAAGAGCAAGCACTTCCCACTCCACCGCCCACGCAGCCAAGGCGCCCCCCAAAAAGGCCCCGGCCGATGCGAGAAACCGTTCAACTCCGGCGGGACTCTGTCGAGTCCACTCTACATCACTATGACGCCTGTTTCCGCGTCAAGGAGCTTGCGTCATCAACGCGATCCTGGTGCCACGAAGTTCCACTTGCCCTTCAGGTTGAGGCCTCCAAGTCTTTCTACCAAGCGTTTACGGACGAGAGGACGTTGCCGGTCTCCCACTGCGTCTTCTGCTACAGGAAGACATCGCCTTGCGAACTCACCACCATGCAGTGGAGGGGTCGTCTGTCACCCTTGCTGCTACAGACGGCCATGGCTCTCCAGGAGTGTGATGCGTGCCTTCCGTCGCACGAGGGCGCCGGAGTTGACGTGTGCCGCGAGTGTCGCGCCAGCTTCGACAGTGGGCGGCTGCCTAAGGCCTGCTCGGTCAACAACATGGCCATCGGTTGTGAGCACCGGTACCCCGAAGAGCTTGATGACCTCTCTCCCGTCGAAGAGAGACTCATTGCCCTGCATGCACCTTTTGGCTATATCACTAAGTTCACCGTCGACAACAAGACCCGTTCGGGAATCAGTTACCGCAAGCACGTGAAAGGACATATTGTCGTCTTTCCGAACAAAGTGGACGATCTCGTGGCCACGGTTCTTCCTCATCCCTTGCTGCAGGCCATCGAGAACATTCACGTCTCTTGGAGCGGTTCGGCTAAGCCTGGCTCCGCAGACGTCAGAAACCTGCTTCAGGTGCGCAAATCTCGAGTGGCAGCTGCCTTGGCATGGCTACAAAGGAACAACCCGCTTTATGAGGGTATCGCAATCAACCAAGCAGAGATGGACGGCTGGCGGTATGCCGACGGCTCCACTGTTCCGACCGTCATCATGGACCGCATGCGAAGAGAGGAACCGTCGACTGTTGAGAAGACACAAACGGACCACATAGTCCCGGACACCGATCGAGGCTTGCAGGAAAACAGCTTTAGAAGCATCGATGAACTGGTGAACTCGATCGATCCTACTTTCATCGCCGAATCTTGCGATTTGAACTGTACTCTGTCGACCGAGCAGACTCAACCCTCTCCTGGTGAGCCGGTGACTCTTGTCCCCGACTCGGCTGCCATCGGCCAGGAAGTGGACACTGTCTGTGAGACGTCTACATCCGGCATGTTTCCTCTCGATGGTCCGGCTGCCTTCGCCGAGTCCGATAAACTGTCGTTTCTGGCCGACATCGTCAACGCCAATCCGGATCGACATGGCAACTCTGTGCTGTGCGTTATGCAGGTCCAAACTACGGAGACCAGCCGTTTGTCCGAGTAGAGCGTGGTGCGGATTTTGCAGACAACCTGCACGAAGATTTCTTCCTCGAACATTTCCGAAGCTTTTCCCGTGGGAAGGGGCGGCCTGAAATCGAAGTGCGACTCGAGTCACAGACGACAAGGCGGCCCTGCCGACCGTCGTCCGAATCACTCGCTTAATTACTGGGCCAAATACGTATTGCAACGGCATGGAGGCCGGTTCGCCACCCATCCTGTCTTTTGTTTCTTAGTATTCAACACCTCCTCCGCCCCCCCAACCGCCGCATCAGCATGGTTCGTGTCGCTAAAGATTCCTTCAACAGGTTTGAGCAGGCCTATGCGAACTTGACCGAGGACCGACTGAAGAGGGCCGAGGCGGAGATGCGGAGACAAGGACTACGTCGGACCCCGACATATCGCTCTTGCTCCGCGAGCTGTCGATTTTGGTCATGCACAGCCGCTCTCCAACGAATCCCGTCTGCTTATGCGGAGGAAGATCCAAGCTCTGGACATTTGGGCCGGTATGCCTGCAATCTGGATTACCATCAGTCCCAACGACATAAATAATCCGGTAAAGATGAAGCTTGCCATTCATAGGCTCCATGATTATGAGTCTGCAAAGGAGCTTTTGGCCGATCTCCGTGAAAGGTACGACAGAATCGCCCTCAGCACCATGGATCCGGTCAGCTCGGCCATCTTCTTCCACCGAGAAATATCTCTATTCTTTGACAAATACGTGAACACAGGCCAGGAATCGATCTTCGGGAAGATCAGCCACTACTACGCCACGGTGGAAACGAACGAGCGAGGCAGCCTCCACTTGCATGGACTCCTCTGGCTGGACGGCAACATGCGGTTACCGAACCTGATGGACGACATGGCCAATCCGCGGAAGAATCGTATCGTGCCCAGGTGATCCGATACATAGACTCCGTCTTTCATGAGTGCCTAGATGAAGATGCCGGAAAAGCCGTGCGACAATAGAGGAAGCCCATCGAACCCGTGGAGGAGGTCATGAGGAGCACCTGGCTCTCACTTCGGCCTTTGAAGACGAATCCAATTTCATCGCGTACTGTTGCCAAGTGCACTCCCACATACACCTGCCTTAAGTATTCTCTAAAGGGGTCGTCGAACAGGGTGCAGATCCACAGAGACGGACAGCCTGCCGCTTCAAGGCACCGTGGAAGATCTTCGAGGAGACAGGCTTCACAGAGGATGGCTTGCTTCAGATCCGGCGCAACCATCCACTCGTCAACCGGTACAACAAGTCGTTGGCGGTCGGCCTTCGTCATAATCACGACGTCTCGATGATCTTGACCAAAACCAAGGGCCTGGCCATGGTGTACTACATCACGAACTACGCCACCAAACTGGATACGCCGATGTGGAAGCGCATTGCTCTCGCCACCGAGGTTGCCCGCCAACTCCGCGAAGCCGGTGGTGCGAGGTGTCGCGCGCCAGGTCCCACCCTGCCCGACGACAGGCAGCAGGCAGTTTTAAACAAGAGCCGTCAGTTCCTGATGAGAACGGCAAATCGGATCTTCTCCGAGCGACAACTCTCGGCCGTCGAGGTCTGTTACCACCTCCTTGGATATGACACCGACTTTACCAACGTGCCGCATTGGTCGTTCCTGAACTTGACGGCCCTCTACTGGACAATCTTTCGGCTATGGGCATCTCCGCCACCAGGCCGGCGAGCTGACGGACGCTGAACAGCCCCGGAGACCATCCTCTGAGGCAAGGAGGGCGAACGCTTCTATGCTTAGATGCGTACGCCTACCGGGGCCATGTTCTACGGGACTTATGCCTGTATGACTACATGTCGATGATTCATTTGGTGCGTCGAAAGGGTCGGAGTGAAGATGAATCTCACATTTTCTCGATGGGCAGGATTCCGACTGTGACGGCTGGATGCAAAAGCTTCGACGGCCCGACCAGTACGCCGTCCCGATCTTCCAAGGATACATCAGCGACGACCATGACGACGATCACCCAGTGTATATTAAGCGGTACTCTCTAACCCCCCGGCACCGTTTTGGCTCCGTCTGACGGCCTGTGCAGAAATTCTGTCCTACATTTGGCGTTATTCGTCCCTTGGGAAAACTTCATTTCTGAGAGCCAAGGCGATATAACCGACATATGGACGACGCATCGAGCGCGGCTTTGTCCCCGCCTCCGTTTCTACGTCTCCAACATTTGTCTTTTGAGAAAGTCTGCCGAGGACGCGCGTAAAGACGCGAAGCTCTGGGCCACTCGATCGGAGGGTGACGACACAATTGACGTCGAGTACCCACTTGACGATGGCCGCTACGAAGAGGAGCCTCCAGCGATGGCCCATCGTCAGGCCTACAGAGCTCTACTCAGATTTTGCGAAATGCCGTGCAAGATACAGACGCCACGAAAGACTCCCCCGTCCTTGGAGGTTTAATACGCGACCTGTGCGAAGAGAACCCGGCTGAAGAAGAACAGCCTTTTGTGCTACGTCAGGACGATCTATACCGGAATATACCCCATGATCAAGGTGACGCCTTGTGCCAATTTCCAATCTCTCGAGACGATGTCCAAGCAGCGGCCAAAGCCCAACGACTATTGCATCTTCGGATGCTGGATGATATCGAGGCTGGTTCTCAGCGCACCGTACTGTCCGCGAATGGCACCGACATTGACGATACCCTAGCTCGTTACGGCGATATGGAGTCCGCCGCTGCGCTCCCGGGTAGTGACCTCGATGAACAAGGCCCTCGGATGCTTGTCGACGTCAGTCCGGTCACTAGCTTCGTGGAGATGGGACGCACCACCGCCGCTAGCTTTACACTGAACTATCTACAGACCATGGCCCTTCAACTCGTTTGCGTATTTCTGGACAAGTATACTGCCGATCCGGACTCAGCTGGTCAGCATCTTCAATATACCGGCGGGCCGGGAGGCACGGGAAAGTCAAGGATTATCGATGCCCTGAAGGGCGTGTTCGCGGCGAGAGACCAGCCACATCTTCTGCAGATAACCGGCACATCAGGCAGTTCGGCGGCCCAGATTGGCGGCACGACGATCCACTCGGCCTGTGGGTTAGATTCCCATCGCGATCCAAACAAACCGCCTCCCCTTCTCGGAGGCGAAGAAATGGATATGGAAACTGAAGCTGGTACTCGTGATTGACGAGGTCAGTATGCTGGGAGGAGCCACTCTGCACAACGTCAGTCGTCACCTGCAGGCACTCCGTGACTGTCCGGACGAGCCGTTTGGTGGGATGCCTGTCGTTCTACTGATGGGAGACTTCTACCAGTTCGCCCCCGTGCGGGAAACAAGCCTCCTGATCAACAGACCGCCGGACCGAACACAGACCCCCCTGCGACAAGCCACCATCTCTCACCACAGCGGCTGCAGATTGTGGTACATGTTCAAAACCGTTGTGCTCCTCGAAGACCAAGTCCGCGCACGCAACGATCCCCAACTCCGCGCACTCCTGGATCGAGTCCGTAACGGCCGGCAGACCCAGCAAGATCTGAGCTTGCTCAATGCCAACATTGTAGGACGCTCCCAAATCACCTTCCATGACGGTTTGCGTGCTATAACGCCGCTGAACCGCACCACTGGGCCCTCAACATGGAAGCCGTCGTGGGCTGGGCGCGCTTCAACAGGCAGCATATCCGTATCTTTGTCTCGACTCACACCTGGCGCAACGGCACGCTTTCTCCAAACATCGTAGCGCGAACCATAGGACAAGGTGACGACTCTGCCTGCAAAGTCCCCGGCGTCTTCTTCTACGCTCAGGGCATGCCTGTGGTTGTGAACAAAAACATCTACACGGGTTTGAAAGTGGTGAATGGGGCGGACTTTACTGCCGTGGACGTAATACTCGATCCCAATCACCCAGGATACCACTTGGCGGATGACGTGACCATCCACTTCGGGCCGCCGCTCGGTATTCTTCTGCAGTCCGAGGAGACGAAAGCCTTGGCGATACCCTCCTCCCGGTGGGGACGGTTCTCATCCGCCCCATGTCACATACACTTGATTCGACTAACTCTCACTTCAAATTCTTGTCGGCAAGATGCACGCGACGTGGATTGCCCGTCGTACCGGCGTTCGTTCTCACTGATTACAAAGCCCAGGGTAAAACCTTCGTGGAGGTACTGTTGGAGCTGCGTGGAAATCGTGTGACCAATGGTGAACCCTCCAAGTGCGATTTTACGAGCCTCTATGTGCAACTGTCCAGGTGCACCTCGCTTCGGGGCATCAAGCTTCTTGGTCCCGTGAGGTACCATGATTTCATTGGCAATGGGCTGGATCAGGCCATACTTGATGGAATGCAGAGACTCAAGAACTTGGCCGCGGAAACGAGACGGTTATACGAGGGCCAAGGTTTCGAAAAGTAGTGGCAGTATACTAACCATCCCGATAGTTTGACCCTTTCGTACGTCGTAGCCACGATCGGCCAGCTTCTACTCGATCTGCGGTGCTGTCGACTAACCAAGCGTATCCCTTCACCGCCGACCAAGCATGGCTGCTGACATGTCCATCATATGCGACTCCATCCTCTGCTTTACCCTGCTCCATCGCGACCATCATTTGACTCATCGCCGTCCCACTTGTCCCGCTCGGAGCTCGACCGTACACGGACTCGGCAAACATCCGAAGCTGCATCGGGAATCGGGAATCCCCATATTGCTCGATGATGTCGCTCTTTTCCACCGCGCTTCGTAGGTCGTGCCATTGCGATGGGGTCATACCGAGTGTCTCACACTCTTTCTTCTTTGCATCCCACCACGGCGGCAGTATACCGGGACAACGCTCGACGCGCTCCAGGAAACGCTTGAAGCCACGCAACCCGTTGGCGGCACCACCATATATGCTATCCGCGTCTGCTTCGCCTTCAATGTTGTACATGTCCTCAACGCGCAGTCGGTAGGCGTCGATCAGCAGCCCGTAGACATCTCTTTCCGATCGATCATGCAGCCAAGTGCGATTTTCAAGACGCGTGAAGGGGCGGATGACGCCCTGTTCCAACCCCTTCGGAGGCGATGAATTTCCCGTTGTAGGCCCATCTTGGAACGATGTCGTGGCGTCGGCCTGTTTGCCACAAACCTTCTTATGGACCTTCCAGTCTGCCTTCTGGCAATCCCTGGAGCAGTACGGCGTGGTGGAACATTTCGCGCACCTCTTGAGGAGGGCAACTTCAGGCGGCGACTTCTTGCAGCTATTGCACTCAAGGGCCATGATGACCTAATTCCGATGACCAATTCGTTGAAGGTTGCTTGTGTGAAGAGGCTGAATCAATTTGAAGCTCATTTGTGAACAGGTAAGGTGCTGTAGCGGGTCCAAGCAGCCGCACTACCACCTCTCTTCTCCAACAGACTTGTTTTTATAAAAACAACCCGAATGCTCGCGCTCGGCTATGCCCAACTCTCGTCCCGTTCCTCAAGGCATTGGCGGACCCTGGAAGGGCCGGTCTCCTGTGCACACAAAATGCGGTATCGGCGCTGCCCCGCGATCTGCGCCACATTTTGTTGTACGTTCAGCAAAATGTGTTGTACGGATAACTACCCATGCTTACCCCTTCTGCTCACCCCTTATGCTCCGCAAAAATGTTGCCGCTCCATACAAATTGGACCAACTTCACTTATACAGAATCTACTCAATTTTAAACCTTTTGACAAACAGTCACCTGTAACGGGTATAGAAATGACTGAACTTACATTTTGTGAAGTCAGCTGATGACCATAGGTGTCGTGACTCGTGACACCCGGCATCGCGAAATGGCAATTTCGACCCCTAATCTCCTCCTGCCTCCTTTGCTTTCCACTCTTGCTCATCCTCCACCACCTGTCACAAATGGCTCCAAAAAGGCCTCGTTCCATCTATACAGAGAACGTGATGGCTGAGGCAATCCTCGATGTCACTGATAACGGTCTGTCGCAGCGCCAGGCTTCTCAGAAATGGGGGATACCCCAGAGTACTATTTCCAGCAGAATGCGAGGTCAGTCGGCATTAACCGACCAGGAACAACCTGGAAAACTCCTATCCAGAGACCAGGAGGCCAACTTGGTTGCATGGACTCTTCGCCAAGAATCTCTGGGTTACGCTCCGTCCCAGAGTCAAATCCGCGCCTGCGTTGTTGCCGTTCTGAAACAGCAAGGCTGCGACTCAAGATTGGGACGTCATTGGGTAGAAAAGTTCATTCAACGCCATCCAGAACTTAGAAGCAAGGTCGGTAGGCGTCAGGAAGCCAACAGATTCGACTCATTTACTCCCAAAGCAGTGCACTGGTACTTTGACGTCAGGAGAAGGAGTACGGGTGGATCAAGCCGGAGAACACCGTGAATGTTGATGAAGGGGGGATTATGTCGGGTTTTGGTATGCAATCAACTCTCCATAGGCGATATAAGCTAATACAATTTCTTTGCTAGGTCTGGACAGTCTGGTGGTTGGAAGTTTGGACCCTAAACGGAAGACTCTTCTCAAGGGACCCCAGTCCCGCAGCTGGACCACTTTTATAGAGGCCATCACCGCCGACGGGCGCGCCTTGACTCCTGGCATCATATTTAAGGGCAAAGATCTCCAGGCACAGTGGTTTAAGGACGAGTTTCGAGAATTTGCGGATTGGAACTACATAACTTCACCAAATGGATGGACGGACAACCACATTGCCGTCGAATGGCTTGAGGAAGTCTATTTGCCTCAGACGCGACCTGACGACGACTCTGAGGCCAGGCTTATCATTCTGGATGGACATGGGAGTCATGCAACGGTTCGTACTTTGTTTTTACGGCGATGAGGCCCTGCTGATTTGACGACAGAATAAGTGGATGGCTACGTGCTTTCTGAACAATGTCTACTGTTGTTATCTTCCATCTCACTGTTCTCGTAGCCTCCAGCCATTAGAAAACGTTGTTTTCAATGCTATAAAGACAGCCTACCGGAAGGAGCTTGACAGACTGGCTTCTTTGACGGATTCCACGCCTGTTGACAAGGTCAATTTTATACGTGCGTATGCCACGGCACGTCAAACGGGAATGACAACAAGAAACATCTTGTCCGGTTGGAGAACCACTGGAAATTGGCCAATCTCGCGTTCCAAGGCGTTGGGGCATCCTGAGATCCAAGGAGACAAAGTTACGGCATCCCCGGAACATAGGCCGTTTTTGGACTCTGACGACACCCGTAATTCTAGCCGCCATATTCGTGATCTTGGCAAGAACAGAACACCTACGACTCGGAGGCGATATGCCAAGACAGCGAAAGGCTGGGAAACTCAAGAACAGACACTAGCAGAACATGGTAGTAAAATTGCTAGGCTGGAGGAGGAAGTGGACAGGCTGAAGAGAGGAAGAAAGAGAAGAGCGATCCCTAACCCAAATAGACGCTTCATGCGTCTCGCCGAAGCTTTGGCGGCCGGTGAGGCCGTCCCCGAAATTGGGAGTCCAAAGAAAGCCGTTGTGGTGGATTGCGACTGGTTAGAGGAGGTGGTGGAGTCGGAGACGGAGACAGCTTCGGTGATTGAGGTCAACGTATCTGGGCCTCCGCAGCGCACCACGCGACAGGGTCGCGTCATAAAAAGACCAAGAACCAATTAGTGTGTTCAATTCTCATTCAAATGATGTATCTTTTATATTTATATGTACATAGTTCGCCGAAATATGAGCAGTTCAAAAATCAGATTTTGGGTGAGGTTTGTCTCATTTGGCGGAGCATAAGGGGTGAGCAGAAGGGGGTAAGCATGGTACCCCTTTGTTTTCGGACTTTGTAATCCTGGATTCTTACTTTCTCGGACGTTTTCAGACCCTTCGCACAGTGGTGCACACTCACAAAGAAACTTTGCAGAAAAGGCATATGATGTAGTAATGGGGTAGTTGCATCGTATTTCGTGTCTCTGTCTTCCTCTCTTTCTGTCCTAAACTCGTAGTATATGTATATGGTTAAGGCAGGCTGGGGGCCCCCAGCCTCTCGACTGGAGACGTTCCAGTCTTTAATAGGAGCTTTCAGCCTCCTCGTTAGACGCGGTTGTCAGCTCCTTGTTGGCGTAGCTGCCCATGGGTGACCTGGCTAACTCGACCAAGAGACGTTCTTCGCAACACACACAATGTATCGATTGATGATACTCGCATTGGCAAACATTTTCTTAATCCAAGCATTAGGTTTCCAATGAGAAGTTTTAAATTTAGTAAAAGTGTTCAACTTCTCAAGGCAAAGGGCAATTTAGGGTTAAAGGATGGCAATTGCTACACCGGCATGAACAAATGGCTACACCGGCATGACTCTTACACCGGCATGACTTTTACGGCCTCTGATTGGTCTATCCCTTGTTGTTAGTGCATTTGGATTCTGCCAACAGCTCCCGTTGTACCCCGGGCTTTACTCTGCAAATTGCGACGCCACGCATCTTCGCCAGCCAGCTATCACGCTAATTACTCCTTCGTTGCGAAGCCTACTGAGAATAATTGTTCCCGACTTTGCAAAGCCACAGGACTGCAGGAGCAGTAGTGTTTCGGACTCCTTGCTGAGACCAACACTCAAACACAAGCTGTATCAGACATCGCCACAGCCTCGTTTTCAAGGCTATCTGCACCACAAACCAGCTCTTTCCTTGTACTGAAGTAGTCCCCTCTTTCTCTCTTTCATCGTCGAATCGACTGCCCTGTTAACCATGTTCTGCTCCGTGCGTGCGACACTTTTCCTATCGCGATCAAGACCGCCAATTCGGCATTAGTTATGTCCCAACCTGGCTTTGGATCTAACTCGGTAAGAAACCGACGACGACGGAGCTACCAATCACGCCCTCGAAAACGACAGCGGCAGAACCAGTCTGATAGTTCAAGACCACCTTCGTCTAGTAGCATAGGGACGAGCATTGGCCAGCAGCGGCAGGCGAAGAAGTGAGTGGGAGCTGCTTAACAGCGACGAGGAGGCTCTTCCTTCTATAGTAGTTAGATAATAGAGACGTAGATAGCTGTCCCTAAGGGTGGACTAGAATTGACATTATTTCGTGTTGCAAACTAGACTTCATTTTAGTGCTCGCGGCTCGCCTCAGTTGAAGATGGGGCCTTGTTAAGAGATTTGGCTTCACCGCCTTCACGCGGATGTACCTGTGGATCAAGGAACGAATGGAGCGAATCAGAGGCTGTAAAAGTCATGCCGGTATAAGAGTCATGCCGGTGTAGCCATTTGTTCATGCCGGTGTAGCAATTGCCTAAAGGATAGGTATGTCGTATAGGCGGGATGGCTCCGGACAGACAGGTTCAGACAGACATATTGCAGGGATTATCGCGCTAAGCATGGGTTAAAAGCCATCGCGCCTTGACTACAACCTGAACGGGAATAATCGTTCATCGCCCCCTCCTAGGTGCGCGTCGCAATAAGAATCGCGTTGTTCAGGTTCAATGGAGATCCAGCATCTCGTCCGACGCGAACGCGAACGCGATGGAGATCCAGTACCGCGACAGCCTCCCGATGATGTCCGCTCCGGCTTCGACAAAGCTGTAGAAGCCCTACCGCAAGAGCATCTCCGCGCTCCTGTTACCGGTGACGAAGTGAACAGCCCCGAGGAAGCCCTTCACTGGTTCCAAAACTATGCATTCACCCAGGGTTTCGCTCTGGTCACTGCCAGCAAGGTACGCGACCGCCTGCGAGTGAATTGTATCCATCACGGTAGAGGTACCCGAAATACTCGAAAGCTGCCGGACATCGTCACAGAGGGAGGGGACCGAAAGAAGGAGCTTACGTACACCAAGGCCAAGGAGTGTCCTTATAGTCTTTATGTCTCCTACAAAACTATCCGGAGCGGCCGCGGAGGGATAGAAGAGCGAAAAGGCTGGGTGGTCGGTTTCACTTACGCGTACCATACGCATCCGCCACTTCAAAATCCCTTCCACTACGCCTGCCATAGATCCCGTATCCCAGAGCGGGCTGCGGCAGTCGATCTGGCCCTCGCGCATCGGACTGCCGGCCTGTCAGCAACTGAATCAACCCGGATTCTCGACCAACACGGCTTAGGCAACTGTCTTTCTGCAAAGGAGTTCTACAACCTGAGCCGGTCTGAAGGGACGCAGCAGTCAAGAAGCGCTTGACGTCTTGCTCACTTGTTTGGAGTTCGAGGACTTCCGTGTTCGTTGCTTCTTCAAATACCTTCTTGACGACCAAGGACGACGGACAGCGCGAGTACTCGAGCACCTGTTCTTCTGTTCTTCCGAGCAGATCCGCCTGGGTAGAAGATTCGTCAGCGGATTCCTCATGCAAACCGATGCGACGTTCAACACCAATTGCCTCCACCTGCCTTTATCTGTCATAGTGGGAATCACAAACACAGGCAAGACATTTCCTCTGGCTTTCGCCTTTATAACATCTGAATCAGCTGAAGCCTTCGAATTTGTGAATGCTCAATTGGCAGAACTGGTCTGGTACGATTGCCCACCACCTCAAGTCGTTCTCGGGGATCAAACCAAAGGGCTCGCTGCCGCGATGGCGGCGTCCCAAGCGAGCTGATCCTCAGGGTGAAGATGGGCAAATATTGCAGCTCTGTGAATGGCATGCCGCAGAGAACTTCAAGAAGCGATTGTTAGACTCGGGCAAATATACGAAGGAACGAAGGGAAGAGCTACTTCGGTTTGTTTGGGATTACATACAAGCTCCCGATGAGGCGCGACTTGAAGAACGGCGAGGCGAGCTGCTCGCAGAAATTCGGGAGCCGGAACGCCTTTATCTCAAGAATAATTGGCAACCGAAAGAGCGCCAATTTGTCCGAGCACACACACGACAGTACCCGAACCTCGGATGTAACAGCACGCAGAGGAACGAAAGCTACCATGTCGTGGTCAAACAGTCTCTGAACAGGCAGCTTCCCCTGCAGGCATCCTGTCAAAAACTGGCCGAAAGCTTGAAGAAATTAACTCAAAAAATCACTGAAGACGAGGATCGGAGCAGGGCTGACGTCCCAAGGCTGTTGGACCGAGCTGCTTTCCGCCTTCTTATCGGGAAGGTTCCACACTACGTTCTAAGCAAGCTAGCTCCGGAGTGGGAGGCAGCAAAAGCTCTAAGATGGAGGCAAAACACTGAGCTCGAGAAGGAGCGGTAAGGTATTGGGCCTTCTCAACGAACCTGGATGTCCCTTCGCGTGTGAGTTCCCACTCAGATACGGCCTGCCCTGTCGACACTGGCTGTACGAGGCTGTTGTCAGGTCCTGGCCTGTCCCACTCAATGTCCCACTCAATGTCCTTCATCCACGCCGGTTACTCGACGGACCTGCGGTGGTACGCAGCTGGACCATGTCTTATGCAAAGCAGCCAGCTCCCGAGGTCCCAAAAATCCAGGGATCGTTACCAAGATGGCGGTAGGAACATGGTTCTTCAATCGGGATTGGAGGTCGTTCAAGTACAGGGAGCCTCGGCGGACAGCAGGCAGAGGAGTTCTCGAGACTCTTTCGCCTACAGAATGACCGTCTAATAGCAGATTTCCAGGCGCAGGTACAGTCAAGAGCCCTCCTGCCTCCGGAATTGCCGGAAGCACTGCATTCGCCTGGCTTGAAGAGGTTCAAATCGCACGGTAGCACGAAAAGGCGATCCATGACCGGCCGTGAGGCCGCAGAGCATACTGCCGCTCGAGCGGACCGAGCCACTTCGGATTTGCTGAAGGGAGTTGATCAGCTTCCTGACCCTTCCTCGACCCCGTCCTCTCCTTTAGCAACTTCGCCACAGCTTCTTCGGGAAACGAGACGTAGTCGAACACGGAGCACGAAGGATATAGAGAAGGCGACGACTGCTACTGGGAAGTCTCCAGATAGAGCGGGAAAGGCCCGAAAGGGTGAGGAACCCGATATGCCTAAGCCGCGGTGCAAGAAGCGGAAGGCTTCAAGGAGGATGAAACGCAGTTGGAACTGCAACAGCGGCCTACCCAGGATTGTATACTAGTGGATTTCCTTCAGACTGAAAAATGGCACTTGTGCCCGTTCAGGTTGTAGTCAAGGCGCGATGGCTTTTAACCCATGCTTAGCGCGATAATCCCTGCAATATGTCTGTCGGAACCTGTCTGTCCGGAGCCATCCCGTGCATTAACGACTCTGTTCCAATCTCGTCTTGCTACAGATTATCAATAACCCTACGTGTGTCGCTCAATATGCATCTTATGTGACGTCTTTGTATCTACACTCGCTTCAGACTCGTTGACCCATCCAAGTGAATTGGAAACGGCAAGAGGAGCAGATATCAACCTCCTATGACTCTTGATTCCTTGGCTGCTAGACTTACTTTGCGGGTGTGACCCCGCAAATCAAGAGGCCGTGCATCGTGGCCAAGGAGACCGTCATCGACTGAAAGTTCTGCTGCTGCTCCGCAGTCAAGATGTGACGTTCTGCGACCACTTCGATTGGCAGTTCTCAATTCGGAACTCCGAGGTGAATTTCTTCCGCGCCTGAGCCGGCTGATTAGCAAGAACAGCGCGGTACTGCAAAGCAGACTAGCACCAACGGTGCCCGTGATGATGCCGATAGATGTCACCCTCTCTCGGACCTTGACCTCCTGCTTCAGTAGAATCAAACGCGTCGTGGCTCTGAACCAAACTAGTGCTCGTGGGAGAGCGCCGTAAGTCGTTACTCGGCCGGATTTGACGTTGTCTCGGACGTCAATCTTCGGATTGATGAGAGCAGTGAGGTTATTGACGGCATCCTCCTCGTGGTGATAAACTCGCGAGCTAGGCATCCACAAGTCTATCTGGAGCTTGTCTACCAAATTTTCAGGGTAATGTACTTTGGCCACAGTGGTGATGTAGCCCCAGGAGTCTCTTGTATCATAGGGCTCCAACGCGTACACTGGAAGTGTGTCAGAGGAAACGTGCTGGTAGCGGCCAGAGCTCGGGGTAAAAGTTGGAGAATAACTGAAGCAGCGCTTGGGTTCTTCGAAATAAAAGTATAGTTTAAAGGGATAGAAACCCTATTTGGATCGGAACAGTTTCCGGCGGAGGCGTTTGATAGCGGCCGCTGGGCGAGATTCTATCAGATGGGTTTGTGGGAGAAGGCTTGAAAGCTTTGCAGCCTCAAGCGAAGCCGAGGTTGGTCTCGGCGATGTTTTGAGACCGATTGAGGGTACAACTTCTTGGCTCGCGAACAAGATGGTGGTAACATCTATAGGGACTCCGTTAAAGGCTTGACTGGTGCGCATGGTAAATGATTCAGTCGTTCGCTCGACGGACGGACTTGCGTCGACGGAGCTTTGAATCAAAGCTCGGACATCCGTTGTTGAGTGTAACGAGGCTACTGTGAGCTTTGCTGCAGGGCTATCTGGAGGCAAGAAGTTCTCAGGAGTAACAGCTTGATGAGACTTGATGACCGGCGGCTGCATCCCAGGAGAACCTCCGTCTCCTGCATTGGATTGTGTAATAACCCAAGTCGGCTCAGTGATTAATGTAGTGGGAGGCGGAGGATCAGGAACCACGAGTTCTGTACTGGCCACTTGGAATGTTTGTGTCGAAGGGGGTCCGGTCAAGACGAAAGCCGAGGACCCTGAACTCAAATTCGGGTAACAGAGGGCCGAGTCGAATCCATTGGATTTGAATACGTTGAGATGCTAATATCAAGTATCTCCAGATGCGTCGGTTCGAAAACCGGATAAGGCTGCGATGTTCCAAACTTGTCGAAACCTCCCCCAGGCGAGGGCTTCTGATTCGAGAGACTCAGGCTGGTATGCCGGTGTATGGCTCCTTTGCTTGTTGAAAATTGCCGTGCGGAATCTGATAAGGGGTGCTTCAAATCCGAGAAGCTAACCTTCGACCAAGGTCTGCTGCGAGGGGCGCGAGAGGGTCCAAGTTGCCATCATCACTAGGGCTACCATGAGTTGGTAAGGATTCTGCAAAAGAACTAGTTGTGGTGGATCTTAGCCGGGGCGTTGCATTGCCCGCTTCGATAGGTCTACCGCTTGAGAGCACTGGAATCAAGCTTGAAACTATCGACGAGAAAATTGGCTCTCCTTTAAGGGCGTCGATATAGATTTGTACGGTTGGGGGTCGGCGGTACCGAAAGCAGAAGACAGGCCCAAAGGCGTTGTTTGCATTGCAATATTGGAGTTGAGGCGTTCCTTCGATGATGTTGGAGAATAGGAGACGTGAAGTATGGAAGCCGGCCTTAGAATGTCTGATTGCCATGATATATTGGGATCCAAGTGCAGCACGGATGATATTGATCTTGTGAACCACTCCCGGGTCGATTCTGTTGTAGCGGAACGACTAATCGTGAAAGCTGTGGGCATCTTCCTGCTTGCTGAAAGCTGTGGCTGGGTCATGGGCGTTTCCAGGGTGTTTGTCGACACATTTCGTGTGTCAGCTAAGTCCCTGCACATAGAAATGGGCACCCCCCTGTTTTGGGCACCCAAGATGGGTGCCCAACCTAAACGGCTGCGTCAACTTCAACAGCAAATTTCACCGCGGAAACGCATCCAATCTGCTAAAAAATTGACGCATGTGTCTTCAAGCCACTACTGATGAAATATACAGAGTCTGACATTCACAGCGCCCTTGAGGCAATCGCCAATGGCGGATCCGCCAAGAAGGCTGCTCGCGATTGGGGCGTCCCGAGGGCAACTCTTTACAATCGCATGCATGGTCACGAATGCAGAAAGGATGCATTTTCTGCTCTTCAGAGGCTTTCTCAGACACAGGAAAAGCAACTTACCGAATGGATTCTCATTCAGGACGCCTTGGGCCTTCCTCCCACTCACTCGCAGATCAGGCAGTTCGCGCAGCGCATGCTCGCCGTCAAAGGAGACCACACCGCTCGGAAAACACTGGATGCAAGCATTTTTAAGACGAAATCCTGCAGTTCGGACCCAGAAGTGCCATCACAGAGACTCTGCGCGTGTCAACGGCGCTTCTACCGAGGTAATTCGGCCTTGGTTCAACAATTTCTTCCTTCCGAGATTCTGGCTATTAAGCCGGAGAACAGGTACAACATGGATGAAGCAGGCATCATGGAAGGACTTGGGGAGAATGGCCTGGTCGTTGGCAGTGCTGAAAAACGATCTGTACAAAAGAAGACGCCTGGTTCTCGGGTCTGGACGTCGTTCATCGAGTGCGTGTCCGCTGCCGGCACCTTCCTCCCTCCACCCGTCATTTTCAAGGGCAAATCGGTCCAGCAACAGTGGTTCCCAGAAGATCTCAGTACTTTTAGTGACTGGCAATTCACTGCGACAAAGAACGGCTGGACTTCGGACCAAACTGCGGTGGAGTGGCTCGAAAGGTGTTCATTCCAAGAACCCAGCCACCCGACCCTTCGGAGCGAAGACTGCTAGTATTGGACGGCCACGGAAGTCACGAGACGGTTGACTTCATGTATCTATGCTACCAGCATCAGATTCACCTTCTTTTCTTACCTCCCATACCTCTCATGTGCTGCAACCGCTCGATTTGTCTGTCTTCTCGCTCTTAAGCACTACTACCGCAAACAGGTCGGATTTCTCAGCCTCCTGACCGATTCAAGCCCAGTCGGCAAGCAAAACTTTCTTTCCTGCTACCAGAAAGCACGCGAGCAAGCGCTCACTGTGTCAAACATCAAGGGTGGCTGGAAAGCGACGGGTTTGTGGCCGGTGTCGATGGCGAAGCCACTTTGAGCCCTCTTCTGCTGGAGAACAGCAACAGACGCAAAAGAACGCGAAAAATGTGGCCAATGCATTCAATAGCCACTTACCCACCAGTGACTGGCAATCAGACACATCCCAGATTGCGTGGTCGACCCCGAGGCGCTCGCAAGATCTGAAGGTTCAGGTAGTTCAATTCAACCAGCTAGACGACGACGTGCCCACGAAGAGATTGCTGTTCAGGAAGATCACAAAAGGGTTTGACGAGAAGGATGGCCTTTTAGCAAAAGCTCAATTGCAGATTCAGGCACTGGAAACACAATTGGCGGCCGTCAAGCCGAAAAAGGAAGAGGGTGGTCACGAGCCCGAATTCGAGGTTCGCCAATATTGAGGCAATACGACGGGCGCAGGAGGAGGTGAACGCAGCTGAGAATGAAGAATCTGATGAAACCGAAGCTGAGGTTTCAGAAATAGGTGACGATTGTATCGTAGTGCACGGTGGTGGGCAGTGAGAAGGGATTGAATTAATGGTGTTGAAAATGGTCGTGATTTTTTTGGGGTGCCCAAAACAGGGGGGTGCCCATTTCTATGTGCAGGGACTTAGAATCACTTTGCTTACAGTGGCGGGAATAGTAAACTTTTCCGAAAATGACGGGGCGCTTGATTGGACCAAAGACATTTGCTCATGATGTGACACATCCATCCTACCTGTCCAGGTGAAAATTTGGGCTTTGGGGCTGGCGGAACTCGGGACGATGATCGTTCTCGAACCGGAAGCAGTCCAGGGCTCTGGAGGTCTCAATGAGTTGAGCTTTTCAACTGCTGTTGATGCTGCCAAGCCTGCTGTTGAATCGACCTGGTTTCCGTCTCCGAGGTCTCGAATGCAAAGGTGGACGGTATAACCCGGGCGTTTGAAGGTTGGGCTGACATAACCCCTTGTTACTACACCTTCTTGGCTTTTTGACTCGGACAGCCTGAGCGAAAAAATAATGCTAGGAGTATCGAACCTTGTAAAGCTAGTAAGAGTTGTAAACCGGCCTGGTGGATTCAGCTCTTGGCTCGGTGTATCCAGCTTCCTGGTTCTAGCAGGCTGTAGAGTCGATCTGCTCGCGCCCTGGACATCCCCGCCAAACGAGCTCCACGCCTGTGAAGCTGCTCCTGAGGTGTCATTTGCAGTCCGGACTATCGAAATTGGAATCTCAGAGACGGAGGGGAATATATTGGTCTGCCAGCCGCGGGCTGCGCAGATACAGAAAGCTCCAGCCAGTATTGCTCATTGAGAAGCCGATGGCGATATTGAACTCACTCTCTCGAAGGGCGGACGACTCGACACCCCAGCGCCCATGGCATGCGAGCCAGGCGGATAACGCCTTTCTCGGCCTGAACTGCGGGCTTGAGGTTGCGGCAGTGGGCGTTGGGCACTGACAAACTCCGCCAAAGCAAGTGCCAAGACCATAGCGGGGGCCATCTCAGAATGAACGGTGTCAGTATCCCGAGGGTGCAGCGACACACAATGCGAGCAAAGAAGCGTCACACAACCAGTAGCCTGGTGAAAGCCAGATGCAAGCAGCACACAACACTTATTAATAACCGTGACTAAGTTGACCACATCGCAAGGGGACGGAGTCAGGAAGGGATGGGCGGTTCAAGGCCGGGACGCGCAAAAGTAGCAGGCAAACCATTTGCTTCTGAAATGCCTTCATGTCGGGTTCGCTAGAGACGGAGGGAAATGCCTGCTATGGTGTTACATACATACAGGGGGGGTTCAGGTACAGCGTCCGCCTTCGAAAGTATAAACTTGTCCCAGATTTGGGTCAATAGACGGTGCATATTATCCACATCGAAGTATCGCGCTACTGTTTTCTTAACAGTAGCTCGTTCGTACATAGGAGATACATACTTGTCGACGATTAAAAATGATGGCCATTGCGGCCATTTTTCTCTGCAGTCTCGCAACACAGCAGCCCAAACACGCTGAAAATAGCGTACATGGCTCCCCGACTGCCAACGTCCCCAGCATGAACAGATCCTGTCTACATATGATCCTCTAAGGACTTTGGAATGCGGAGATTGCCAAAAGTGTCTCATGGTTCCAAATAGGCGGCAGTGTACCGGTACCTAGTGCATCCGATTCG